ATTAATGTGATTGATGCTAGATTGGATAAGCAACTTTATAGCCCATTACATGCAGCTGGTTGCTTTCTTAATCCAGGTATCTACTTTAAACCTAGCTTCAACAAACAAACTACTGTTACGAGAGGTTTGCTTAATGCTTTAACAACATTGATACCGGATGAGGATAAGCAAGATCTCATTAGTTCACAAATTGAGGAGTATAAAAAAGCTACAGGGACCTTTGGCATGAGTTTGGCTATTCGTCAGAGAGAAAAGTTAAATCCAGGTAATTTTCTTTCATCTTAGCTCTCTTTTCATTTTGTTTAAAAAGTTTTTATTTTACTTATTTCAATGCACATTGTATTTTATTGTTTTTATAGTTGCATGGTGGGATCAATTTGGAACGGATGCACCCGAATTGCAAAAGTTTGCAATTCGAGTGCTTAGCCAATGCACAAGTGCAACTGGATGTGAAAGGAATTGGAGTGCTTTTGATTTTATTCATTCTAAGAGGAGGAATAGGCTAGAGCATGAAAGGTTGAATGCCCTTGTGTTTGTTCGTTATAATTTGAAGCTTCGAGAAAGGTATAATATCTTTAAAATATTATAATTGCTTTATTTATTTATATTTTTTTTTTTTGCATATACTTTATGCACGTTTATGTTTTATATAGAAATCAAACAAATGTTAGTTATGATTGTTGTTTGTTTATAGAATTATTTATAGGGGCAAAGAAGCAATGGATCCTCTTAGTCTTGACAATATTGACATATTAGCTGATTGGGTGGCTGAGGAGCCAACTCTTCTTGATAAAGATGATTATGATGTAGATTGGGCAGCAATTGATGAGTCTTTGCCAAATCAAATCCTTGATGATACTGATAGTATTGTTTATGATGAGGAAGATGTCCCACAAGTTCCTCTTGAAAATGAAAGTGAACAACTTTGGACTAGAGTTGGTGGAGTTACAGGTTATGGAATTCCTCCATATGAGGAGCCTTATAATTATGTACAAGATCATTAATTTTGTTGTTTATTTATAATTGTCACTTGACAGAAACTATTGAAGAACTCTTGTGATGAACCATTAGGTATCTGTTTCATCATTCAGTCTTTCTAACTTTTATAAATTGAATGTGATTTGCTATCATCTATTTAATGATTGTCATTATCTTAATGTCTTTAACTTAAACCATCTAAAGTATCTTTGCTTAGGTTATAATGGGTTTAGGTTAATGGTTGAAAAAAAAAAGGAATTACATTAATTTCTCTTATAAAAATATATTTATAGCGATAAATCCGAAACGGTACGCGAAAAATTCCGGTATCCGGTACGTACCGTTCCAGTAACAAAACCGGTATGCATGCCGGTACGGTATTGACTCCCTTGGTTAATTGTCTTACAAGAGTTTTGTATTCTTCTTGGATTGGGATAATCCTTGAAGGGGTTGAGTGAGTTGAGATTCACTTGTGAGGGTTTAATCTTGCACCCGCAAGTAAGAGTTTGTTCCGGTTTAATCTTGCACCCGTAAGCAAGAGATTTTTAGTGGATTGAACTCTCGAGCAAGGAGGCTTGGGGAGTGGACGTACTCTGGGTTGAAGGAACCACTATAAATCACGGCTCGATATTCTCTTCCCTTTCTTTTTATTTTTCTGCACTTTATTTACAAGATTGCAGTTGATCTTTGTTTTATTTTGCACAACAGATTATACATATATATTGAAAACTTCATTCACATTTTTATAAAGGAAAAGAAATAAGCTTTATATCTTAGGAATTGAGGGGTAGCTAGCTGGAATTACAGATACCCAACCCGAATTCTAAGAATTGGGTTTTGAATGGAAAAAACGAATCATAGAGAAGTTGTTGTTGAAAGATGCATCAATATTTAACCAAAAAAAAAAAAAAAATTGGGTCTCATTTCTAAGGTGAGGATGCATTTATCCCATAACGAATTGAGGATTGAGTTTTATACTCTTAATGAAATTTGTAACTCATAGAGTGGGGTGTCTTAGTTATGGGAGCATCCTTGACAAATTTCACTTATATGGGTGTCGAAGTGAGGCTATTTCTATGAAAATTGGATGGGCAATTTTCTAGATCACACATAAAAATCGAAATCATGCGCAAGGTCATAACGCGCCAGCTATATGAAAAACTCAACATTCAGATCATTATGTGTGTGATACAATTCTTGTTTCTTCCAATGGAATCATAGTTCAAGACTTAGTTCACTATTGACTTTGGATTAAGAATTATTGACTTACTAAGTAAAGGTTAAAGGTTTATCTACCTTTATTATGCATAATAATCCATCTTTGCCCAAAAGAAAAGTTTATTTTTTATTAAAATAGTGGGGAAATTGTTGGAATTTAAATATTTTAATAAAAAATAAAATAATATATTTTATAAATTAAATTTATTGTCTCATTAAGTACTTGGTCAAACTAGCCATTGTAAGTTAATTGTCTTATTTAATGGCACATTATTTCATAATAATTGCCCAATTTATTCCTATCATTAATTTACAAATGGGAGTTACAAGACCATAAGTCATATAAATAGGACATGTCCTTTTGCTCAATAAAAAGGTTCCTCCACATTCCTCTATTCTTTCTTACCTTACCTTATTTTCTAAATATTTTTGGGTAAAAAAGGGTGTTTTGAGTAAGGTGACTTTATGGGTAGTGCAAATCCATAGAGTGTTATTATAAAACTGTAGCATTTTGGAAGCGACATGTTTTATGTATCTCTGCTGCACCGATTGATCTACTCTCCGCAAAGGCGTTAATCACCTGAAAATAAGTAAACTTTTCACGTCTATTTCGATGATATTTTCTTATCGATATTTTTTGATAAGTTCATTAATTATTATTTTATTTGATCTTGTTACCAAAGCACAACAATAACATGATGTGGAGATGAAGGAGAGTGTTCAAGGAACAACATATATAACTTTTGCAATTCTCTGTTTCCTGAACCCAACAACAACAGTCAATAGGAAACAATAAAAAAAAAGAGGGGTTCTACATATCTTTCCTACTGACTTACCTGTGTTTTGGAAAATATCAATTTTTATACTATGAAATCGTCCACATTCTGTGTTAATTGATTCTATTTCTTTCTACATTCACAGTCCTACAACCACATAATTAAACTTGCAGATTATAGTTTGTGTGTTAATTAATTATTGGTTAAAACCCCTTTTTGGTCCCTGAACTATTGTACGGACCCCCGATTTGGTCCCTGAACTAAAAAAATTCCTGATTTGGTCCTTACTGTTTACCCTTTTTACCCCGATTTGGTCCTTCCGTTAAAAATTGTGTGACATGGCCTGTTACTTAACGGTTACCAGATGACATGTCATATAGTAATATAAAAAGTGATGATGTGGAAAAAAAA